AACACCATTTATTAAACAGGGAATCTTTCCCGATTGCTTATTTTTGTCAGGTTTGTCAAAGATCAGATGGCTGTAGATGTGTGGTGTTGCCTCCGAGGCCTCTGTTCTGTTCCATTGGTCTATATCTCTGTTTTGGTACCAGTACCATGCTGTTTTGATTACTGTAGCCTTGTAGTATAGTTTGAATTCTGGTAGTGTAATGCCTCCAGCTTTGTTCTTTTTGCTTAGTATTGACTTGGTTCTGTGGCCTCTCTTTTGGTTCCATATGAAGTTTAAGGTGTTTTTTTTTTTCAGTTCTGTGAAGAAGGTCATTGGTAGCTTGATGGGGATAGCGTTGAATCTGTAAATTACTTTGGGTAGTATGGCCATTTTCACGATATTGATTCTTCCTAACCATGAGCATGGAATGTTTCTCCATCTGTTTGTGTCCTCTCTTATTTCGTTGAGCAGGGGTTTGTAGTTCTCCTTGAAGGTGTCCGTTACATTCTTTGTTAGTTATATTCCTAGGTATCTTATTCTCTTTGTAGCAATTGTGAATGGCAGTTCGTTCTTGATTTGGCTCTCTTAAAGTCTGTTATTGGTGTACAGGAATGCTTGTGATTTTTGCACATTGATTTTGTATCCTGAGACTTTGCTAAAGTTGCTTATCAGTTTCAGGAGATTTTGGGCTGAGACAATGGGGTATTGTAAATATACAATCATGTTGTCTGCAAATAGAGACAATTTGACTTCCTCCTTTCCTAATTGGATACCCTTTATTTCTTTTTCTTGCCTGATTGCTCTGGCTAGAACTTCCAATATTCTATTGAATAGGAGTGGTGAGAGAGGGCATTCTTGTCTAGTGCCAGATTTCAAAGGGAATACCTCCAGTTTTTGCCCATTCAGTATGATATTGGCCATGGGTTTGTCGTGAATAGCTTTTATTATTTTGAGGTATGTTCCATCAATACCTATTTTATTGAGGATTTTTAGCATAAAGGGCTGTTGAATTTTGTCAAAGGCCTTCTCTGCATCTATTGAGATAATCATGTGGTTTTTGTATTTGGTTCTGTTTATGTGATGAATTATGTTTATAGACTCACATATGTTGAACTAGCCTTGCCTCCCCGGGATGAATTGTACTTGATCATGATGGATAAGCTTTTTGATATGCTGTTGCAGTTGGTTTGCCAGTATTTTATTGAAGATTTTTACATCTATGTTCATCGTGGATATTGGCCTGAAGTTTTCTTTTCTTGTTGAGTGTCTGCCAGGTTTTGGTATCAAGATGATGTTGTTCTCATAAAATAATTTGGGAAGGGTTCCCTCTTTTTGGATTGTTTGGAATAGTTTCAGAAGGAGTGGTACCAGCTCTTCTTTGTATGTCTGGTAGAATTTGGCTGTGAACCCATCTGGACCTGGGCTTTTTTTTGGTTGGTAGGCTATTAATTGCTGCCTTAACTTCAGCTCTTGTTATTGGTCTATTCAGGGTTTCAACTTCTTCCTGGTTTAGGCTTGGGAGGATGCAGTGTTCAGGAATTTATCCATTTCTTCCAGGTTTACTAGTTTATGTGCATAGAGTTGTTTATAGTAATCTTTGATGATGGTTTGTATTTCTGTGGAATCTGTGGTGATATCCCCTTTATCTTTTTTATTGCATCTATTTGATTCTTTATCTTTTCTTTTTTATTAATCTGGTTAGTAGGCTGTCTATTTTGTTGCTCTTTTTGAAAAAGCAGCTCCTGAATTCATTGATTTTTTTGAAGGTTTTTTTTGTGTCTCTATCTCCTTCAGTTTTGCTCTGATCTTAGTTATTTTTTTGTCTTCTGCTAGATTTTGAGTGTTTTTGATCTTGCTCCTCTAGCTCTTTCAATTTTGATGATAGGGTGTCGATTTTAGATCTTTCCTTGCTTCTCATGTGGGCATTTATTGCTACAAATTTTCCTCTAGACACTGCTTTACATGTGTCCCAGAGATTGTGTGGTATGTTTTATCTTCGTTCTCATTGGTTTCAAAGAACATCTTTATTTCTGCCTTCATTTCATTGTTTATCCAGTCAACATTCAAGAGAAATTTCATATCCAGCCAAACTAAGCTTCGTAAGTGAAGGAGAAATAAAATCCTTTATGGGGAAGCAATTACTCAGAGATTTCATCACCACCAGGCCTGCTTTACAAGAGCTCCTGAAAGAAGCACTAAACATAGAAAGAAACAAACAGTACCAGCCACTCCAAAAACATACCAAGTGGTAAAGAGCATTGACAGAATGAAGAAAATGCATAAACTGATGGGCAAAACAGCCAGCTAGCATCAAAATGGCAGGATCAAATACACATAACAATATTAACAGTAAATGAAAATGGGCTAAACGCCCCAATCAAAAGACACAGACTGGCAAATTGGGTAAAATGCCAAAACCCATCAGTGTGTCATATCCAGGAAACCCATCTCATATGCAAGGGTACACAAAGGCTCAAAATAAAGGGATGGAGGAAGATTTACCAAGCAAATGGGGAGGAAAAAAAAAAAAAGGCAGGAGTTGCAATTCTAGTCTCTGATAAAATAGACTTTAAACCAACAAAGATCAGAAGAGACGAAGAAGGACATTATATAATGGTAAAAGGATCAATGCAACAAGAAGAGCTAACGATCCTAAATACATACACACCCAATACAGGAGCACCCGGATACATAAAGCAAGTTCTTAATGACTTACAAAGAGACTTAGACTCCCACACAATAATAGTGGGAGACTTTAACACTCCACTGTCAATATTAGATCAATGAGACAGAAAATTAACAAGGATTTCCAGGACTTGAACTCAGACCTGGACCAGTCAAACCTAACAGACATTTACAGAACTCTCCACCCCAAATCCACAGAAAATACATTCTCAGCACCACATCACACCTACTCTAAAATTGACCACATAATTGGAAGTAAATGACTCCTCAGCAAATGCAAAAGAACAAAAATCATAACAAACAGTCTTTCAGACCACAGTCCGATCAAGTTAGAACTCAGAATTCAGAAACTAACTCTGAACTGCACAGCTTTATGGAAACTGAACAACTGGCTCTTGAATGTGAGATGTATTTAAGCCTTGTCCTCTACATTTTGAGAGTAGCGTTATTGTAGCATTACATGTACTAGTGAGATGTTAGGAGCCCTTTCCCTCTTAGGAGAGAAGTTTGATGACCTATTTATTTTATATATGAGAATATGCATCAATACAGACTAAACAGATGTACTTCCCTATGAAGAAAGTCTACTTCTTTCACGTGGCCACACACCAGGCAGGAGTCAGGGTGTTTTCCTTGATGCAGAGAAGAGGAAGGCATCTTTGTCTTCCATTTGCATTTTCCATTTAGTTTTTAAGTCCTCAGCCACACCCATTTATTTACATATGTTCTATGGTTGCTTTCACAGTGGTAATGTGTGCAAAGCCACTACCCAAATGAATGGCAAGCTTGCTCTGTGTGTGTGTGTCTGTCTGTGTGTGCATGTGTGCATGTATGTGTGCCTGTGTGTTGGTGGTAATTTGTGGAAGTGATGGGAGGTGGGTAACCCTAAAGATGACTTGGGTCTGGGGCTCAGGGGCTCAGACTCACCATGGAGCAAAATCTCCTGTTTTTTCCCACTCTACCTGCTTCTTTTCTAAGCCTATCTAGTATGTTACAGCTTTGTGAGCACAAGTAGTGTATTTGGGAGGTGATCCTGGGAAACTCCCATAGGACAGTGAGACAAGGAGAGGAAGGTGTGTTAACAAGCAAGCAGGTGATCACTGTGGGCAACTTGGGGCTCAACCCTGCTGGCATCACAGGGGAATAATATAGAGTTGGGGTCCGCAAACTTGTCTAGAAAGGGCCACGCCATAAATATTAGGCTTTTGGGGGTATACAGTCTCTTGTACAACTCTGCCTTTGTAGTATGAAAGCAACCATAGAACATATGGAAATAAATGGGTGTGGCTGTGTTCCAACAAAACTTTATTTATAAAAACAAGTGGTGGGCCAGATTTGGCTGGTGAACTGTAGTTGTTGACTCTTGATATAGAAGCTGTCTTTGAGTTGTTGCATTCTGAAGGCAAGGCAACTCAGGTACTTATCTGTTATCATTTTTCTGCCATTGGTAGAGGGATGCTCCTTAAGGCATTGCCTTCTTGTCCCTTCTGGACTGCCCCAGACCACAGATGGAGAGCCACAGGTGCTACTGTGGGAAGTCATGAATGTGCATGAGCATGGGAAGAGCCAAGAGGGAGGACTATTTTACAATGAGTGAAATAAGACTTAGAGAGGTCAAACGATGGTATGAGGGCACAAGGTAGGAAGTGGTCATGATCAAAACAGGGCTGATCCCTATGCTGTTTGTACATGATGACATGTAAATTTCCTCCTAAAAGGAGGAAATTTTATGCATTGTATTCCAATTGCATTTTAACATCTGTCTGGGAAATTTTGTTCAGAAGCACACCGTTTATAAAGCACGTCACCATAACCTATCCCACGAAATGGATTTTCTTCTGCTCCCCAAACTGTTATAGAGGCACTTGAGAATCAAAATAAGAAGATACATAATTTGTTTATTCTTAAGACTCTTTTAAAATGTCTTGATTATACGTGTTTCCAGGATGTACATATAGAAACTTTGCAAATCAATGAAAATGCAGCAAACTGCCTACTAGAAAACAGAGCAAATAATACAAATAGGCAATTCTCCAAAGAGAAAATATAAATAAACAATGAATATGTAGATGATCCTCAATCTTGATAATGAGGTAGGTACAAGAAAACAACAAGATATCCTCTCTGCCCATCACACTGGCAGAAAGTTAAACACCTTATGAAAACGTGGATGAAGATGTAGAGGAACTGGTACTTGGCTATTCAAGTAGGCTGTAATTTTCTGGAGGTTAATTTGATTAATAAAATCTGTTTCCTCTCACTTTATTCTTCCAAGAACGAGAGGGGGAATCAGAATTGGTCCATGATAGTGATGGTCATCGCATTCCTCTTGCCAGTGGCAGTTGTATGTGTGAGTTTGCAGCTCAATCCTGGCCAAGGGGATCCAAGGGCAGCTGAAGAGGCATGTCTGCACATGTCACCTAGAATGTCTCCAGCCATTACATGACCCCTGGGGGAGGCATTCTCAACTCTCTGAGAGTCGCAGATCAGAAAGATGGAAAGAAAGCACCTGGCTTCAGGATGATGGCATCGAGCCACTGAATTAACCATCTTTGGACCACCCTAACCTTCAGAAATCACCTTAACAAGAGAAAATAAAATGCTTATTGCTTAGCCACTGGGATCTTCTTTTATTTGCAGCCAAAAGTATCTTAACTGATATAATTATCTCTCCCATATAGAAATTGGGGCTTATGTGTCCAGATAGGCCATGTACAAGTGTTTTATTATAGCATTGCATGTAATCGTGAGACATTAAGAGTAACCTGAAATGTGCATCAGAGGGGAACAAGGGAAATAAACTGTGATTCAGTAACACTACAGAATTCGAGGCAGCCGTTAAAAGCAATTAGGTAAATTTTTATGCGCTGATCCCAACATCTCCAAGATCTCCAAGACATTTAAGTTTTAAGGAGTTGTGAAATAAATACATATGGTATAATCCCATTTATGAAAAACAAAATAATTCTCAAAATAAAATGTGTGGAGATTCATATATATACATTTATACTTATAGAAAACGGGGGTGGGATGAGTCACATCACATACATAAAAGCATTTACCTCTGGAGTTGGGAGATGGGAAGCAGGTGAGAGTTAAGAGAAATTCGTGTGTGTGTTTTTAAAAATATATATGGCATTTGTCCTTTTAGCAACACAAATGAGTGAATTTATGGCTTTGTCATAAAAAGATGTTTGGAAAATAACCCACATGCTCATTAGAAAAATCTAGCAAATACTAGAATGCACAGATGTTAAGTTTTTGTTCAAATCATGCAAGGCAGAGGTCTTTAAAAACAACAACAACAACAACAATATTTCAGGTTTTCTGAGGGCAAAGAGGAACTTCTCCTCAGCCCCTCAAATGATTTTCATGTGTGCAGCACAATTACGCAGGCAGAGTTCAGTGTGTTTTTAATCAAAAGCTACTTGTCAAGTAGACAATGTCACTTTGCCTAGCCTGCGTAAACAAAGCTTGGTGGGGACTGAGTTTGGAAGTGGAAGAGCTGAATCTTTTAAATTGGAGTGTGTGTGTGTGTGTGTAGGGGGGGGTGGAGGGGTGGGGATAGAGGAGGGGGTGGATGGAAGAGGGGAGGTGCATGGAGTGCTCTGTGCTACATACATTATTTTGGACAATTCTCCATAGAAATATCCACCCTGTGTTTTCCGGCACCAGCTCTGCTCCCAACCACTTGGAACCATAAGAATTTGACCTTCTGAAGGAGAGAGGCTCCCTAGCAATGCCTGGCTGGTAATGACTGAGTTGTAGGCACGGACTGTTCCATAATTGCCTTCCAGTTGTCTCCTACATTTTTCCGTGTTGGGTACCATTAGTCTCAAGGCTCCTGTCGTGTGGCCATTAAATCATTGTTTTCTCTGACAGCGTCATTTCTGCAAAACCCTGGAGAGAAAATACTACATATTCTACAGGACTGGAATGCCGCCACCTGGTCATTATGCCCAACAGCCCTCAGACCAGCTACTCCTTAAGACGTGCACATTTGCGGCGACGGCACCATGGCTCCCCAGACTAAACAGCTCTGGAGACCTTACTGCTGTACTGGTTCAAGTTTTTTTTTTTGTTTGTTTTTGTTTTTTGTGTGGAATTACCCTGGTCAGCAAGCATCCTCTAGAACTAATTTAGGAGACTGAGTCTGACAGATGGGTGTAAAGAAAAGAAGAATGGCAGGAAAAACATTGTTTTTTCAGAAATCAAAAAGGATGCTTCTCTAAGGGTATCACTTATTTTTCCCTCCACCCCCTGCAACCTACCCAGGGCAAGAGCAGCAGCAAAATTTTTCAGACAGGGTCTAACTGTTGTCTGAAATAAATGAGAACAGGGAGACTTGAAGACTGCTGAACATGGAAAGATGAGGTGGGAGGAATGGTCTTCCTGACTGATTTCCAACAGCTGAGCTGCAAGGCTGAATAAAGAGGATGCCAATGAGTCTTTAACAAAACACTGAAAAACCAAGGCTTGCTACCTTCGGGGATCATCATTTATTCATTCAACAAATAAAAGATTGAATGGTTAGTGGTTGCTCTGTGCTGGACATTCTTTTAGGTGCTGGGGACACAGCAATGGACCAGACAACATCTCTATATCTTAACTGGGCTCTGGGAAGGAAATTGGTGATGTACTCAAATCGGGAATTGGAGGAAGAGTTGAATAGAGGGACTATTTGCACAGATATAGGTGAAAGAAGGCTGCAAGGGATTGTGCAGTTCCCTGGGGCTAGCAAAAACAGGGAGCTGTTACCACCCTGACGGGGCACAGAGCGGGAGCAGCGGCTGGCAAGGAAGAGGTTAGTGTAGGGAGAGGCTGTGTAACAGGAGCCAAGACCAGAGAGTCACAACCAACCAAGCCTATGTAGCAGAAATGAAACTAGGAACAGATAAAACCTTTCTCTCCCCCTTCCCTTTTGTATTAGTCTGTTTTCATGCTATTGATAAAGACATACCTGAAACTGGGTGATTAATATTTTTTAAAAAGGTTTAATGGACTCATAGTTCCATGTGGCTGGGCCTTACAATCATGGCAGAAAGCAAAAGGCACATCTTATATGGCGGCAGGCAAGAGAGAATGAGAGCCAAGTGAAAGGGGGAAGCCCTTTATAAAACCATCAGATCTTATGAGACTTATTCACTACCAAGAGAACAGTATGGGGGAAACCGCCCCCATGATTCAATTATCTTCCTTCAGGTCCTTCCCACAACATATGGGCATTATGGGAGCAACAATTCAAGATGAGATGTGGGTGGGGACACAGTCAAACCATTTCACCTTTGGTCTCCTAGTAGTGCTTTCTATTGGCTGAATCTAACTGGAGGCTGGGGAGCAAGGGAGATCATTAATTTGTTCTCCTCCTGGAGTACAGGGCAGGGAGGAGAAGGGTGGCAAGTGTCCCTGGAGAGGCAAATGGAGTATTTCCAGCACAGTCCTTGTCCTCAAGGAGTTAATATTCTACCTAGGGGACACAGACCATAAACAAGCCAATAACTTTATAATACAATGTTGCCAGGACTTCATTAATCTAAGCAGCACCTCTGTGCAAATTAGAAAAAGCCACCCTCTCTCTAAATGGATGCAGCCCCATGCCAGGGCACTTGGTTTAGCCAGTGAAGCGAGGAGTGGATATCAGCCCCCACTCAATGTTTGGTCAGGAGCTTGTGCAGAACTCAACCCACAAAATGCAATATGCTTCGTAGCCAAGTGGTCAAGGTGTCATTAAAAAAATAGAATTCATGACTTGGAATGAGCCAGTGACAGGTGATGCACAGAAACAGCTTTTCTAGGTCATTAGGCTTGGTCATACCAGTGACATGGTGACAGGCTGCAAATGCAGGGTCATTAGGGGGCCCCGAGGATGCCCAATGGGCTGCCTCCCCAGGACCAACCCCTTGCAGCTTCCCATAAACTTCATAGGTAGGCAGAAGCCAGGGTGGGTCCCTTGTAAAGTCAGCCACCAGTGGGAGCTGCCCCAGAGCTCACAGGGGACGAAGGGCTGTCTTCTCCCAGCTCCGGCTCCCTGAACTGTGATGAGCAATTTGTCTTTCAGCCTTGATCTGCTGTCAGTGGGGCTGACACTGACTCCGAGTATTAATTTCTTCTTGAGCTGTCTTACATTGCAGTCGACAGAGGGACGAAAAATGAAGTGGATTTGCCAGATACAGAAACTCATCACCCAGCTGCCTTTATTAGTGGTGAAGCTGTGGGGAGAAAGGAGGCCTGAGCTGTGCTCCTCTTCTTTCTTAAGAAGCAGATGCCAAATCCCTAATGAAGCATCTTTCATTTTGCAGCCCTGTGCTTTGACACCTTTCTCCCTTCACTCTCCCTTGGCTGCACAATGTCTTTGCTCTGTCTCTTTAAAGTGGCTTGGCAGAGATATTACAAAGAAACCGATGGATACCCCAAGTCTTTTCATCTGCCTATAACAGGTTCACCCACTTCATAAACAGGCCCTCTTGAAGGTCTCTTGTGTTGTCTAGATTGTGTTTTATTCAGGGGTCTGTGGTGGGTAGAAACAAACAGGTTCATTCAGTTCAAGTTTTTTAAAATGTAGGAAATCTCATGGTGTCCAATGACAGTAAGGCTCAGCTACTTGCTGTGTCTCTTGAGCTCTCAAAAGGGCATGGATGCTCAGATACACTATTTTCTGCACATCCCTTTCTTTATTCTTTCTTTATCCTTGCTCCTTCTGCTCTCCCACACAGCCCATCATAGCTCTCCCAGCCCTAGAGTTTATGGGGCCCTCATTTCCACACTCTGTGACTATCTGGATCAGTCTCTCAGCATCCAAAGTCCAAGTTCCCCCACAAGGAAATCTGATTGGTGCAGCTTGTATCAGGCGTTTTTCTTTGGTCCAATCATCTGTAGCCTGGAGGATGGGACCATGTGGTCTGTACAGCTTCCCATCTCCGAAATAGGAAATATGGGTGGGGCCAGAAGACTTCTCTAGAACATCCAGAAAGAGATGCTATAGAGGCAAAAGTAGATCTGGATAATATATGTTTTATTTTAGTTTTGTAGACATAGAATCTCACTGTGTTGCCCAGGTTGGCCTTGAACTCCTGTGCTCAAGCAATCCTCCTGCCTTGGCCTCCCAAAGTGCTGGGATTATAGGTGTGAGCCACTGAGCCCAGCCCAGATCTGAATTTAAATCTCTATTCATCCAATCACTTCCAGACCTGTGGCCTTTATTTAATTTCCTTAATTAATTTAATTTCTAGTGCAGTTGCCACCCAGGGTTATGCCTGCAAGACCAGCTTCAAAAACATGGTTAACAGGCAAGCACAAAGAGATTCCCCCATGAGTAGACCTCCAATTACCCTGGGTCTGCTGCATTTTCAGTGCCTCATCTCTTTGGGAGCAAAGGGAAGTAAAGCTTTGTATTCACATTGAGTGTGTTGGGATGGGTGGCTGGTGAGATAGTCACAGCTTGGTGGCCTGGCATGTCTGGGGAAGCATGAAACATAACCACATCACGATTATGTAGAATGCATCCATGGCCTCCCCTTGCAGTTAGACTCAAGGTCAAAATTCCTCATAACGGACTTGAAAGACTATGACTCAGCCTGAGTGTACGTCTCCATCCTCATCTCCCAATGTGCCCC